TCTTTTACTTTCATTTATATGTATATTACTTAATTCAATTTTCTTGATTTAGTTACTATTGAAATTCAACTCCTTGTCTTTCAAAATTTACATGTACAAATGATATTTCAATTCTCTTGATTTAGCCACTCTTGAAATTCAACCCCCTGTCTTTTATGATCATCGACATGCACAAAATATATTTTAATTCTCTTGATTAAGCTTCTCTTGAAATTCAACTTCTTTTAACTGAAATGAGCATTAATTTTTATATGTCATTTCGTTTGGTTTAGTCACTATTGAAATATAACTACTTAACTTTAATTGATATGCACATTTTATATATCATTTCTCTCGGTTTAGCCTTTCTTGAAATTCAACTACTTGACTTTCATTGATACATGTATGCACGTTTAATAATTCAATTCTTTGGGCTTTTCGACTGAAGACTTTAAATTCATCACAATGGCATGATATCTACTATTTACATGATCTATCTACTCTTGAATTAATTTGATTTCTTAATCTCTTCACATTATTAATATGCATTTCACATTTAATTTATCAACACCCGAATATTTTTATTTTATTATTTATTTATTTATTTATTTTTTATTTATTGCCTTCAGTACTATTAATTCACTTTATCTGATAGCAAAACACAGTTGGACATATTAAAGGAAACCACTTTCCAGTGTAGTGCCGAGAATTAATGAGATAAGAATCACAGGCGTGTTAAGTGACCGTTGCTGTATTTAAAGCTTGCTGTGAGGCAGATCTAGATTGTGGAAGACAGGAGTTCTCAACAGTGTTTTTAACAGGGAAAAAAAATTGGAGCACAAAGTTGTCCACTGCTGAAAAAATCTAACCCTTGAAGCAATCGAAATCTTTTATTGTTTGCACAAGAAATAAGAACTATAATTTCAAAATTGTTTTTTCAATTGGTACAGCTCAGTTCTTCCGTTTGAGATGAGTAATTGATTTGCTTCGACCTTCTTAACTGCGAACTTCTCGCTTTGTTTACAAATGTAGTTCTCTGTGTTGAACGATTCATCACTAACGCGGGAAAACCTTTCTGTTCATTAGCATAACAGCGCAAGAATTAGTTTATTTATATACCACCAGCACGTCAATCTTGTAAAAATAACCTGGTTTGTATAACTGTTCAATTTGTGAATTTTCTTTAAAAAACTGTTTTTAAAATTCTTCTTATTATATAAAACTTTTATTTATTTATAAATCAAAACTTTGTGTGCACGACATGTCAGTTTTGTTGACCGCATGTTCCTAACACTATTTTCTCTCGCGGATAGACACAAATTCCAATAAAATGAATAATAAATATTTATATTTATATACACTTCAAAGCATATCAGGAAACATATTCTTGTTGTTTAGATTATGAAAATCGTAAATAAACCAGTATTATACAAGAACCCGTACGCAAAATACTCAAATGAAAATGTGATTAGTTTCGATACACTGGGGAATCCCTTACAAGTCACATAACATGAGTTGATACCATCAACTCGTAAAAATGTGATAGATGTAAAATACTTGTTTAAGAGTTCAATCTTGTCGGTGTTTAGTATTGCAAATCTATCTTTGTTATTGTCATTGGTATACTGAATGGGTGGTATTTCACTCGTCGATTTAATGTGAAAAAAGTCTTTCAACAGATGCATGGATCCACATATAATATGTATTAATAAGTTTCACACATTTATATGCATGTAATCTGTAATTGCGCTATTTCATCGATTTCCTCTACATCTGTAACAGTTTAGTCAATTCTTATCCCAATTTCATGTATTCAGTTCTAATCTATATAACAGAGATAGTTGTCCACAATCTAGCTAGCAAGAAATAAACAAACCAAAAAGCGAAACTTTATACATTGGTTTATACATGTATTTGTATTACTGGATAAGTAATTTAGAAAAAAATTGAAGGGGGAATACCAATATGCAACACCACTTTTGTGGCGTATTCCCTTAAAATTAAACCTAAAACATTATATTTATCATACACATATAGAGACTGATGAAAATTAATAATTAGATGTATTTTCAAACCATAATTTCTTGATGTTTGTCCCCATATGTTTAACAGGAATCTCTCTGGGAAAAGGAGGGGTAGTGCCCGAATTCATCCGCGTATGGATTTTGTTTAAATATTTTCTATGGCGTGTTTTCTATATCACTAACACCGGCTAGGTCTACAACACATGTATCAGGTTGGTGCAATACACACGTATTTTAAAATGCTTAACTTACAGTACTTAAATTATTTTAATATATATAACTACTGACAAAGTGATAATTTTCCTACTGTCGTAACCGATTAAAAAAAAAAGAATCATAGGAAATGAGAGATTTTTCAGTGAAAAGGACGGTGAATTCAGAGAGAGAGAGAGAGAGAGAGACTCCTACAGGTATTACCATGGGACTGCATCATCCTTTACCCCATCCCAACAAAATAGAGAACAAATTAATAACTGGTATGTTTACACACTTTTCAAAAGAGTTCAAATAAAATTACATCAATTAATGAATGGATTTTCATTTATTCCCTTTATTCAGGTACATGCTTACATATACAGATATACATGTACAGTGATACGGTACAATGTTTAGTAAATTGATTTAACTCATAAAAGAAATTAATATTTTACAAAAATTATTGGAAAAAGTACATAAACAATGTGCTTTCAATAATTCCTAGTTGTTTTCTTGGCAGCTGCGCTTCTTAAATCACCTAACATATGTCTTATGACACCCTCGTCGTCGTCTTAAAGTAGGGACTACGATTAGGAAATCTCCTAAGATAGGATAGCTTCGCTGGCCTCACTTAAGACTAAGATATGTCGTACGTTCATCTTAAGATGTGTCTTAGTCCCAAGACAACTTCATAAGCATGCCTATTGGTCTCTAATAATCCATGAAGTGCCTTTCAACTTTCTTTTCTCACTCAAAGCAAACTTAAATTTCAAAGAGTGCTTCTTGTTTTGGAAATAAAAACATTAAGCCGCCCTCTTCCCTCCTTAATCAAGAGAGAGGGTGGAGGTGTAGAAACCATGTAGCTTTAGTGATTATAATGTCATAAAATATAAATATCAGGATTATAAAATTATTTCCTAACATATCATTCATGTTATATTTCGCTTGAATACCAGCACTAACCTAAAATTTAAAAAAAATCATTAACCTTTCGGAAATTGTTGTTATGATTTTGATGCAGTTTTCTATAGAAATTGGTATTTTAATATTGATTGCTTAAAAATAACTTTGCTAACATCCACGAACAAAAACGTTTCCGATCCCCCCCCCCTTTTTTTTTGGTTCATTCACATAAGAAAATTTGTAATAAATGGTGTATATCTCAAAACAAAAATGCAGATTCAAAAGCTTATCTCTTTTGCATAAATTATTGTAGTAAATGCTTTACATCTTTGCGTATGATTTTGTTCTTTTAATTAAGGGGTACCGACCCTCTGATAAGAGAGATAACTATCCAAGTAAAAAATACGAATACTAACTCATAGTTTTCACTATCGGAGTTCATTTTCGAGACCTTGGGATAGTCAATTCGATCAAACCTGATACACGATGGAAACATTACCTTCGATTTCCTTTGCTTATACTTTTCAAATTGTTTTATGATATTTAACAAAAACATTTAAATTCAGTAATAAATGCCTTATAAATTGAATAAGTTCTATCTTTTTAATTTAAGGACAATTTTAGAAATGGTTTAATGTTTCAAGTACCAAATGTAAAATTTTTATTACATGTAGAATTACATTTTTTTTCCAATTAAAAAATTGTAAGAAATATAACTCTTGCTAATAGATGCATTCTTTTCTTACAACTACATACAGCATTGTAATATTCTGACTTAGGAGGCAGCGCTTTATTATGTTTTCTAATATGAATTTAATAGGTATAACACTAAATATTACTTTCATATACACCTCATATCTTTAATTTTATGCTTTGATACTAAACCATTACTCTTTCTATCCTCTGTGTCAAAATTTCTTCATGTCATGATCCGACATAAAAATCATTTCTGAAAAAATAAGCAGCGCTTCATACCTCATACCTCATACTGTTTTTCATTTGAAGCTGATGCTAAAACTCTTGATGAAAATTGGGAAGTTTAAAAAAAATGTATAATTTAGAGCAGAGAGTCATTAGACTTAAGAACATTCAAAGTACCCTATACAATGAATTTTTCCGTTTTTTTTTTTTTAATTTTTTTTTTTTTGTCCATTTCATCCAGGTAATTTTTTTGGTGAATTTAGAAATGGGCTTATGTGAAAATATTTACTAGAACTTATAAAGAGCATAAACGTCATGCGCAACTTTAGACGATACCAAAATTGTGTATTTATTCTTTCATAAACATGTACATGTTGTAGCTCATATATATATATATATATATATATATATATATATATATATATATATATATATATATATATATATATATATATATATATAATGTATATACGTGTACAATTATTATCAAATAATTGTAAAGGTTACATAATTTTTCTACATGCAGTTGAAAATTTAAACAGTAATCATTTTTCTGAGATCTAAAATTGAGTGAATAATTGTAAACATATGATTCTTCAATTTAAGATTGATTGAATATACCTGCAGGTTTCTGATTGACTTATCCACGATTATACCAGGTATGTAAAAATTTATTTCTTGTTACAATAATGCAATACTAAAAACTCCTTAAAATATTCTTAACTAAAATGTAAATTATATTTAATTTTATAATCCTGTTAATTACATTTTATGACATTATAATCACTAAAGTTACATGGTTTCTACACCTACACCCTCTCTCTTCATTAAGGAGGGGAAGAGGGCGCTTAATGTTTTTATTTCCAAAACAAAAAGCACTCTTTGAAATTTTTGTTTGCTTTGAGTGAGAAAAGAAAGTTGAAAGGCACTTCATGGGTTATTAGAGACCAATAGATTGTAATGAGGTTAAATAATTGGCTATTTACAAAGTTCTTTATTTCCATACAAAATATATCGAAATACCGCACCGATTGTGTTGTTTAAATTTTTTATAGTATTTGGGTTTAATTTCCCCAGTTTCTTTGAAAAATAATAATAGTCTTTATTGAAAAAGTGAATTGCAAAACTATGAGACCATTTATAATTCCCATTATACAAAACTGACTCCCCAGGAAAGAAAATACAGTTAACTTCATAAACGTGAATGTATTGTGGATACTTTAAGGAAAGATTCCTTGCCATCTTTACTGAGTTTTTACCCCATTTATTTGGATAGTAGTCTCTGTAACTGTCAATCCATATGTTTATAAATGTGGCGTTTTTAGCTGCAAATATGACCGCATTTGCCACGCCTCCGTCAGGACCTCTATCCATTGTACACTCTTTATTTCGGAACTCATTAACCGATCTTAGAATATATTGATCTGTATCAAGGTATATGCCTCCATACTCTGAAAATCAAAGAAAGGGAAAAATTAAATTAGTTTATTTTGCAATATTGCAATATCTGTTTAACCTATTATTATATGTATGCCAAATAACCCGGATAAAGCTAATAAAGAAGAATGATAAGTGCAAAACCACATTTAACATTATCTCAAGTGTACTGTGGAATGTCTGTCTTGATTTAATTTGGTCTTGTACCTTTTAATATTTTAAGCCTCATAATATCAGACTTGTGTTGAACATATATGATCTTCTTTCCAGAAATCTGAGTTGGAGGCGTTAATTTGACGAACACGATGTTGTTGACCAATGTTTGTAACAAATCCCACCACACACCAAATGGCAAAACATCATAGTAAAGAAACATAAAACAAGGTTTTTGGAATTTGAACACACTGTAGAAACTAACAAAATATATGAAATCGAATTCACGTCCTCCAAACCATACATAGTGAACTATATTTGGTACTAGCAAATGGTCTGTACAGAATTTATCAATTACTCGTGATAAACATTTATCGGGAAAGTCAAACACATGGGTATTGTTAAATTTCATTGTAGTTTCTAGGAAAACATCATAATCTGTGCACCTTGGAATCAATCTCCCTCCTTCTGCATGGGACTTTCTGAAGATGGTTGTATTCGGATCTAAGCAACCGACGGAGGTTGAAAAGCTCCAGTCTGAGCCCCCGATTGGTGTAAAATCTTACAAAAAATACACTGTACACGTTTAAATAACTGTAGAAAGAAAAGGGAATAAAGTAAAGAAAGCATATAAATAGTACGTTCTTTCTGATTAAGAATTAATCTATTCAATGAAATAAACGTTCTTCAACAAAATTAATTGATGACTTACTGCTATATAAACTGGGATAACTGTCATTTCCCTGATTCCTCTGATAATACAAAGACATCTGAATATCACATGATTGATCGAATAAAGAATACGCACTTTTTCTTACAGTAGAAGATTTGTGAAGAGACTTTGATTCAGTCATAAGTCTTACTGGCTTTGCATAAAACATTTGCTGATTTGAATATTGTTTTGTCAAGTTTCGACTTCTGTTCACGGGTAACACTACTCTTGGAACTACAGTCTTCTCAAGCCTCTTTGTCCAAGTATTTGAATTGTTACAGTAGAGCATAAGGACAACAATCCATAATAATCCAACAAGAAGAGGTGAATGTCTGAAAAAGCAAACAGTAAGTCAGAATGAAATTCAAACAGGTTTTGTACATGTATTTAATTGATTACTATGATAGCTTTATAAAATATATTACGTAACCCTTTGTAAGAAAGATGTTACATTGATATACATGACGTTATTAATTTTAAAAGAGGGGAATAAATTGACCAACAACAACAAATTTGCACTTAATCCTTTTTTTTATATCATTATTTAGCGTTAATTGTACGTTTTGAATTTTTAAGATATATAATTAATACTAGAATATACTATTAAGCTCAATTATAAGATATAAAATAAAATTAAAAATGTCTCATAAATTCTTAATATTAAATAGACGAGATTGTACAATACTAGACTATGATAATAGCTTTACAATTGGAGAAAATAAAGTCGTTATTAAGACTACATTACTTATTTCAAAAGACATAACTTAAATACCTCTACCTTTGATAGAAATGAGATTGCACTTTGATATTTACCGTTTTAATTGCGTAAAACTTCCCATGATGAACCTCCGGCCAATTTGAATACCTGGTTTATACAAATTCTATTAGCATGTAAAGTTATTGCAGTAAATACACAGAAAAGCAGGATTCAGAATTTAAAAAGGTGAAGAGAACGAACAGTGATCGATCTCAAGAAATTCTACAAACAATACAAATTTATGAACAGGGCCCTGGAATTTCAGACATAGGATCAGGTGCCTAGGAGGAGTAAGTATCCCGTGTTGACCGGTCACACCCGTTGTGATCCCTTTGTATTGATCACGTAGACAGAATATTCCGTAGTCAAATTTAGTATAAAAACAAAGGCCTAACAATTTGCATGAAAATGTCAGCCTATTTTGGACCCAATGATTGTATTTGCTAACAAGGCCTTTATAACGACCATAGAATTTACGAAATGCTAACTTTAAATGAGGTTGTTGAGTTCCCTGTATCATCAACTTATCTGTCGGCTTAAAAATTGATCGTATTCAGAGCAAGTTCTTAAGCATAGAATATTCTAGGAGACGTAAATACCATATGCAGGTGATAGCGGAATATTACCACATAAATATGGAAAGTTGACGATGGAAAAGCTGAAGTCATTTCCTTTGTCATACAATTTAGTTGTTAGTTGGACCTTATCGTTTATAATCCCTAAAACATCCAAATATAAAACAGATGTGACAGACTCTGTGGTGTATTCTATCTATTTTAAGTTCACTGGGATATATAGAGTCGACATATGAATGGAAGTTACTATTGTTAATTGATAAAACGTTGTCGATGTATCTGAGTGTCGAGTTGAAAGCCACAGCAAGTGTTTTCTTCTTCTCATGTAGAAGTTTTTGAATAAATACTGCTTCATAGGAATAAAAAAAAAAACAGGTAGGCTAATAAAGGAGCACAATTAGTGCCCACAGAATTCCAACAGTTTGTTTGAAGACCTGGTCTCCGAAGACTACATAAATGTTGTCAACTCCAGCATCCTTTTCATAACGACTTCAAAGTACCTGTTTGTAGAATCAAAGTGATTTTAATAAAGTAATTTTGTTGATGACCAATCACAAGATACGAAAATTACCAAGTTCCATTTTTATTGAAAAGGCAGTTACATCTGATATCAAAACGCCTGATTTTTAAATTATCATGAGGAATGGTTGTATAGAGTGTAGAAAAGTCGTACGTTTTGATGTTATTGACTTTAGAAAAAAATGATGATTTTAAATTTTTTAAAAGTTGTTTGGATTTTTTGAATCCACATCTGATTTACAACCCTTTTAGAATATGCTGTAGTACAGGACTTTACATTTCTCCTTTACAACACTTAATATTTTTGTAAAGAGTATTTGCAAGACCCAGCAACGTCGCGGGTTCGAATCCCATTGTGGGACGTGGAGACCGGTCCTTCGGATGAGACCGTATAAACCGAGGTCCCGTGTCGCAGTAGGTGTTGGCACGAAAAAGATCCCTCACTGCTCAATGGCCGTTAGTGCCGAGTATAGGACAAAATTTGCAGCTCTCCACCGGCATGTGGTGGCGTCTCCATATGAGTGAAAAATTCTCGAGAGGAACGTTAAACAACATACAAACAAACAAACAAACAAGACCCAGCAATGTGTCTTTGTTAGGATTTTTATGACAATTTGGAATCCAATATAGGTACACGTAAGGTCTATTGAACTCACCTTGGTTGACTGGAATGTTACAAATTGAAATGTGATTTTGAAGAATTTCATCCTTAGAAAGTAAACTGTGAGTATAAGTCGGGATTTCTAGACATACGAGGAGTGTTCCAAAAATAATCTCATTTCACATTCTTCACATGAAAATCGTGTTAATGTATTACTGAAACCAAACTGACACGTTAGATTGATCACTGAACCGCAGCGGAAGATAATTTCATGTTCACAATTTCACTGACTTAGCCACAGTGTACATTGCTATACAGCGTATTCATTACACTATACTCAAAATGACTGGAAAAAAGCAAACAGTGAATTTGAAATTAGGGCCTATATAAAAGGTGGGTCTTTACTTGGAATTAAACCCGTAGGTATTCATCGTGAGGTATGTGGTATCTATGGGAATGGTCAAATGTATCCTAGGTCCGTTATAGGTGGGTTGCTAAATTTAAAACAGGTTACGAAGACCTCAGAGATGCTGCTCGCCAAGGTCGCCCTGCAACAGTTACAACTTGGGATGTCAGAATATTCGAGTACTCAACTATCGTTCGATCATACCGACTGCATATCGAATAATTTTTTTTTAATCGGTTATTCATTAAAAACTTATCGCAAGTTCTCTTTTCTTTATATAAAAGTTACGCTTTAATTGTTTAACAATCACGGGTCACTGACAAGACACATTCAGATGGCTTCAGATAAGAAATCAATAACGGGTACATGTACTAGCAGCATAAAAAGAAAGGATAAATGCGAGCGTTTGATATTCTCTATATAAATAAAATGTGCAGTAAATATTATATGTGAAATCAAAAACATTGGATACATATATTTATTACTAGGTTAATGTTAACGATTCAACAATTCGTTGTATAATGGTGATAGCGTAGATTAAATATTGTACAGGCTAGCAGTCTTTTAAATACAAATAGGAAAAATGACATGAAAAATTAATTGAAATTTCAACACGTGCTTGACTATCGTTCGACTAAAGCCTCCGACTATTCGACTAAGCTGTCCGGGTAAAATTGACATCCCTAGTTACAACCAATAATAACATCGTAAAAATCTACGAAATCTTACAGAAAGACGCAAGAGATACCGTGAGGCAATTGGCTCGGATAACAAACTTGTCGTCGTTAGATTGTGTTCATGGTATTTTGAAAAAAAATCTAAAGATTAGAAAGATAAACGCTAGATGGATACCTCATATGCTTAGCGATGAAGAAAAGAGAGTCCGTGTTGAAAATGTAAAGAAATTATTCAAATTGTATCCAAATATACCTAAAAGACTTGATAGTATATAAATTTAGTTACTGTTGATTAGACCTGGGTATACTATTTTGAGCCAAAACGTTCTGACAGAATCTTGGCATCAAAGAATGCAAAACGTCCTAGTATTGCTAAAAGATTACGAACCGTGAAGGTTTTGTATGTTATTTTCTTTGACAATAAAGGACCAGTCATGCAAATTCCTGTGCCAAAGGGCAAAACAGCCACAGGTAACTTCTATAAAAATGTTGTTATTAAAAAACTGAAGAAATATTACGAAATTCATCGCACCAAAATGGGTTTGAAGTATCTCTGACTTTTGCACAATGCGCCTGCACACAAAGCACGCAAATTGTGAATGAGTATTTGGAGTCGGAAAAGATTATTGTTCTAACCCCCCCCCCCCCCCCGTTTTTTCCAGTGTTAGCACAGTGCGACTTTTTTCTGTTTCCCAAAATTAAATTCCATCCATCCGGAAAAAGATTCAAATTTGAAATGTCCTTGGGTCTGCAATTTATCAGTATATGATGGGTTTCCCTATTGAGGAAAATGAAAAATGTTTCTAGAAGTGGATTGATCGTCTAAAAAGTGTATCCAGGCTAAGGATGAGTACTTTGAAGGCCATGGACGAATAAAAGGATCAAAGATTAATAACGTGTGTGAAAACAGCCAAGTGTCATTATTTGTCGAATATCCTTCTTAGAATAAAAACGAAGTTCTTCTAAAATACAGCTATAATAATGACAAAGACTAGTATATTGTTACAATCCTTGTTTGCTGCAACCATGACATCATGTTGTTCATCTAGTCTTTTAAATTCTTTTATCATCTCCAATTCAGTAAAAACCGAAGAAAAGATGGTTCGCATATTGCCTTTTAATTTCTTATACGATTCTTTAATAAATATCTAAAACAATTAATCTATTCTGACTAAGTGTTAAGGTCTTCCCTGTCAAATTAGCCCAAAGTTTGGCATGATCTTCGACAGAATTCAAAATGGAAATGAAGTTCGTCGGCAAATGAAAGATAGGCACTCCCTGTAGGTGAAATCCACCTGTGACGTCACTCTTTTGTTTGAGCGCTCCATTATTTTTCAGGAATGGAGAGTAGCATATTACATTGAAAACAGACTTTTGTTATGTACATATTCTCCTTCCCGTACCTCTACCGAGGAAAGAACTTAGAAAATTTTAACAAGCTTATTTGTACATGAAGAAAATAAATGTGGCACTGTTGAGATTCAAACCCGGTACCTTCACCTTCGGAATCAGGTACTCATCTC